GCAGGCCCCTCATTAACGAGTGGCAGCAAGATAACCCTCAATTGTGCTGGTGGTCAGTTAAAGGTCGGTCGTCGGTGAAGTGTGTGCGTGTGCGTTCGTGCGTGTGTGTGTGTGTGTGTGTGTTTGTGTGTGTGTGTGTGAATTGTTTAGTGCGTGGCGAGAATCATGTTCCACAAGTCGTTGCACTAGCGCAACCATTTTGCTCGATCTCAAGAGAGCTTCCGAGCTTGTCAAATATCATCACTTGTTCCAGGCCGCTGTCGAGACGGGATTCCCCCCTGTGGATTCTCAAGCTCTTGATTTCCATGCGTATATCGTTTTCCGCTCGTGTTGGACATGCAAGGCGTTGTGAGCGTCCTCACCCTGGCCGGCGCAAGAACGGAAAGCGCTCTTGGGAGCCTTTGTGTTGAGAGTTACGTCACCGCTCGCTGTTGGGAGCCATGGCGTTACTTGGCGTCCCTGGGGCTTCTCGGGGGTCTTTTTGGGGCCCTTTTAGGCCGTTGTGGGATCCTCTTGGGCCGTCTTGGGGCCCTTTTGGGTCGTTTTGGGGCGTCTTGGAGGCCTGTGGCCGTCTTGGGGCCCTCTTTAGGCCCTTTGTAAAGCCTCTTGGGGCTCTCTTGGGGCCCTCTTGGGCCGTTTTGGGACCCTCCTGGGCCGTCCGGGGGCCCTCTTGGACCGTTTTGGGGCTCTTTGGAGGGCCTCTTCGGCCGTCTTGGGATGATCCTTGGAGCCTCCTGGGCTGTCTTTTTGGGCCCAGCCTCTCTCTGCGAGGCGCACGATTTCTTTCTCGCGCGAGTTCCAGTAGGTGGGTTCAGGGCCGCATCAACTTGTTCGATCGTCCTTGGGTTCTGATGTTATCCAGCGGTCGTTGAAAGTATGTATTTTTGGGATTCCCAGATTCCATTATACTTTAATAGCCCTCCTACTCCCATGACCGAGTGGCTTCAGCTTTTCCGTCCTCCTGGGGGGCGGACGGAACCCAACATATTTTTAATGCCTTCCTAATTTCATGTTCCTACCGAATTCTTCCGACCGATGGGTACCCGTCGGTCGTTGAAAGTAGGTAATTCTGGATTCCCAGAACCCAATCTACTTCAAGCGCCTTCCTACTTCAAGCATCGATATGGTTTGGCTGTTGTTTGTTAGACTTTGGGCGGGCCCGAACCCAATCTACTTTATCCGCCTTCCTACTTCATGCTCCTACCGACTTCTTCCGACCGATGGGGTGTGCCTGTCGGCTGCTCGTCCTGCGGCGCTCTCTGTTCCGGCCGCCCTGCTTCCCTCTCCCGGCCGTGTAGATAAAAAGCGCGAGAGGCGGGTGGGGCGGTCCAGCTCTGGGGCCGCCTGTACAAACGAGAGTGCAAGCATGTGTCAGGAGGGAAAGAAGCACACAGACACAACTAATCGTCGACTCCCAGGAAAATATGGGAAAATATGGGAAGTGGGGGGAAGACAGAAACCCAGAACATATTGGAAACTATGGGGAATCCTTTTATCTGTGTGTATTTATTTGTGTGTCCTGGGGCCCCTTCAGTTACAGCTCGTAAGTGAGGAGGTTGCGCTCGCGTTTCATTAGCGAATTTTTCTTTACCATTGAGAGTTGCTCGTCGGAGATTCTCTGGCGCGCAGTGTCGCGCAGGAGAAGGGAGAGGGGGGGGGGGGCACGGGGAGGAGGATATTCGGGCCTGGCCGCCCAAGTCGGTCATTTTCGCTTGCCGCAAGTGCGGTTGAGAGCCCCCTGGTACTCAATTCAGCGCAGCGTCAACATGGAGGATAATGCGGGGGGTGGGGGAGGGGGGGAAAACCAACGTCTGCCCAGGATGCGTCAACAGTGCTGCAGTTACGTAAACCCCTACGCGCCTTCCTTTCTAGTATGGCTTTGCCTATTGCACTGCTGCTCGTAAGACCTCCACGCTTTCCCTGTATGCGTTCCCGTGTTTCCCTGCCTGCGTTTCTCGTTCCCACCATCCTTGTAACGTTCGATGTGTCAAGGTTCAGGGTCCTAAGTTGTGAGGCAGTCTGGGCGAAACTCCTGGCCCGCCCTACCGACGCGCTTTCTGGTTGCGAGGAGGAAGAGTTTTCCACAAAGAGGGAGAGAGAGAGAGACAGAGAGAGAGAGAGAGAGACAGAGAGAGACAGAGAGAGAGAGAGAGGACGAAGGAAGCGGATATCCGTCGAGTACTGGGCTACTCAGCAAAGTTGGTGATGCAATGTATGTGCGGGTGCGATATACAGCGCTGCTGAGAAGCTCAGGGCGCAGTCCGACTGCCAACCGATCGAGATACTCTCTACGATGGGGCTTAACACGTCTATTACATGAAAAGGGGAGAAGTAGGAGGAGGAGGAGGACCAGTGTAAACCCAAGAGTCATCCACGATGTTGGAATAAACCCTCCCTCCAAGCTCCCTCTTCACAAGTCCCTACAACGGTTCATTTCCACTGAGGGAACTGCCTCGCTGGAAGACAACCGTTTGAAGACCTTGAAGCATGCCAAAACGTTGTTCTCGCGACTCCAACGCCACGGATCAACCTGACTGTTGCGTCTCGACGATGCTCAATCGTGCCAGAACGCCGTTCTTGAGACTTCAACACAGCGAATCAACGTAACTGTTGCATCCGCATAATCCCTGAATCGTTTCAAAACAACATGTTGGGTACGTTGATGATGGGAACGCGTGAAACTCTTATAATTTTTTAAGCCGAACGTGCGTGGCGCTAAGGCGAGAGCCACATTTTGAAAAGGAACCGCCTTCAATCAGTGAAAATCTTGCAAATGTTTGAATCGAATGTTCGCCGCGCTCAGGCGAGAGCCACATTTTGAAGACCACCCGCCCTCCATCTATGAATTCTTAGGCTTCCGAGTCGTAAATGATGAGGACGGCTCAGGCGAAACGCCCGGACCGCTTTAAGAACTAGCCTCTAGGTGCGACAGGGAGAAGTTATCTTAAGAGAAATCGAATGGAGGAGGAGGAGGAGGAGGAGGAGGCAGAGGAGGGATATGAAAGATGACCGGAGGAAACCAAGGATGCATCAATCGGGGCGCATGTAATGGGGTTCACCACTGACGGGGGCTGCCAATCCCCTCTTGCTGACCTGGGTTTGGGAGCCATGTCGATGGCCCGGTTTCGGGGTTACCTCCTCCCGAAGGGCCCGAGTGTTTCTTCCGGGATCGTCATCCCACGCTCGCGGGACTGCCTCTGCGGCTTCTCCCGAAGGGCCCGCACCTCTCCCAGAGCAGCGGGCACTCGTGGACGGTGTGTGTGTGTGTGTGTGTGTGCGTGCGTGCGTGCGTGCGTGCGTGCGTGCGTGCGTGCGTTTGTGTGTGTGTGTGCGTGTGTGTGTGGAGGGGGAGAACCACACCGACGCAATGTATCGTCGATCCCCAGGAAAATGTGGGGAAACACAGGACGCGGGGGGAAGACGAAAGCCCAGACAAGATTGGAAGCTATGGGGAATCCTGGGATCGGTGTGTATTGCTTTGTGTGCTCTTGGGCCCATTCAGTATGTGTGTGTGTGCGTATCGCGAGGCGGCGGGGGCACTGCTGCAACCCCTCACCTGGATCGATTATGGCCGGCCTGTTTGGGTTCGATCCCGATATTTCGGCCCCGCGGCGATGCAGCCACATTCAGCCACGCGCAGAGGGGGGGTGGGGGGAGGGGGGAGGGCTTCTTAGACCCCCCTCTGCTTCTTAGAAGGCGCGGGGCTTTTTCATGCATGTAA